TTTTTTAGAACCCCCAACCCCTTCTGAGCCCCATGGCGCTAGGTGCCCTGCAAACACATAGTGAGAGACAGTCCCTGCTCTGAAGAGCTTAACGCCACCTTCACCAAGGTCTCGCTTTTTCCTCTCCCTCTGCACAGGACACAAGAAGTGCTGCATATGTAGACTGTCCTGGCAATGCCTCTCTCCTTAGCAGGCAGAGCCAGTCTCGCCCCCCCAACCCCTTCTGAGCCCCATGGCGCTAGGTGCCCTGCAAACACATAGTGAGAGACAGTCCCTGCTCTGAAGAGCTTAACGCCACCTTCACCAAGGTCTCGCTTTTTCCTCTCCCTCTGCACAGGACACAAGAAGTGCTGCATATGTAGACTGTCCTGGCAATGCCTCTCTCCTTAGCAGGCAGAGCCAGTCTCGCCGTGTCCTGGGCGAGCACGTTCCCAGGCTGGCTTCACTTCTGGGTTCGGTCTCATTGTAGTGAGCAAAGCATATGTCTCGAGATGCTAAATTACCCCCTCAACTCATGTAATTAAGCTCCATCCGAGAGCTCTCCAACGTGCGCCCTTTGCAATGGAGCGTTTCACATTTTGTTCTCGCGTCGCCATGGCGCACCGGAGGCCCATTAAGGCAGGAGGCTGTGTCGGAACCAGAGGGCAAGTTTCCACCGCGTGCTGCAGCAATCGCGCTAGTCAGGCGCTCGTCGGGGGGCTGGCGGGATGGCCGAGGGGCTGCCCGCACCGGGCCGCGGAGAGTAATATCCTGGTTCAACACTGTCCCCGGAGCAGCGGTCTAGGCAGCCGGCAGAGACGTTCCACGGCAGGAAAGCCAGCACATTTCAGCAGGCAGTGTGTGGAACCTGTAGCCCATTGACACTCAGCGATTTGCAGCCTGCAGCCAGCCGTGCATAGCGGCAAACACCCCCCCCGGGGACAATGGCCAGGACTATTCAAAGGCTGCCAAACAGCCAGATTAGATTCCTGCCGTCCGCAGAGCAGGGCGGGAAGGAATCCAAATTGTGCCTTGTTCACAGCGTGACCGTTTCTAGCGCGTCTCTATTATTTGCTTGTATGATGGGGATTCCCAGCTAGCGCGCGAGGCCCCTTTGGGCTGCAGAGTGTGCGCGCACCCAATGAAAAGACGGTCCCTGCCTCTGGGGAGCTTGACACACGCGTACGTCCTGCCGTCCGCAGAGCAGGGCGGGAAGGAATCCAAATTGTGCCTTGTTCACAGCGTGACCGTTTCTAGCGCGTCTCTATTATTTGCTTGTATGATGGGGATTCCCAGCTAGCGCGCGAGGCCCCTTTGGGCTGCAGAGTGTGCGCGCACCCAATGAAAAGACGGTCCCTGCCTCTGGGGAGCTTGACACACGCGTACGACAAGCCACGGGGGAGGGGGGAAGTGCAAGGCCGGCTGCGATTGTTCCAGCAAGCAGCCATCACACGACTACGTGACTCCAGGCCCCTCCCTGCCAAAGGGTCCCAAGACGTTTTACGCCAGCTGGGCACGGAGGGCTGACTGATGTGGGAAGGGACCAAGACCAAGGCGATGGCTCTCATTAGCGAGCTGCGGGACCCCGCTGGGGCAGGAGTCGATGCTCCGGGCTTCAGAAACGTGTGTTTAAACGGGGGCCCCGGGCCCAAAGCAGAGGACGGGCCCTTGAGAGGTGCCGAAGCAAATCGCACGAGACTTCGGCCCATGGTGGCCCCACAGTGGGAAGGCAGCCCGCCGCAGAGCAGCACTTGAGCACGTGAAGCCGGAGCGTGGGTTGCACTGACGTCAGTAGGACTTAACCACGTGCTGAACTTTAAGCAGCCTGGCAAGTGTTGCCCACAGAGCGATCGCATGGACACAGTCAGGTCTGCCTCGGGGGGATCGGGGGGGTAGATAAAGGGGGGCAATTGCTCCAAGGGGCTGGCAATTCAAAGGGGCTTCAGCTCCCGACCACCATCCTGCTCCTGCGACACTCTGCTGGAGTGCCACCCAACACTCTGGGGTGGGGTGAGGGTGCATGTCGGGGGGGGCACAGAGGCTTGGATACCTCCGGCCCTGCTCCTTCTCCCCAAGGCCCTGCCCCTTCCAGATGTGCAGAGTCCCCCCCCTCCCCCCAACACACACACCTTGCCCAGGGGCCCACGGAGGCTGTCGGCTTCCCCCGGGTGCATGTGGAGAAACCTTGAGCTTTGCTTGAAATGACCCATGTGTTGGGTGATGCTTTACAGGCTGTGTTCTACAGGACAGAGTGGTCCCTTCCGGCCGTATCCCTAAGAACAGGGACAGCCCAGGGTGACTTCACATTCCAGGTCTGGATCAGAAAGGCCCAGAGGTCGCCAGCAGGAGAAGTCAGGCTGGAAAAGTCTCAGCCGGCAAGTGGCTTCCTGGCGGGAGCCCTGTGGGGAAACGTTTCCGATGCGCCTGCAGTGAGTCAGGACCCTAAACTTCCAAGAGACTCCTTGACGTCGCAGTCCCTCCGGACTTGCCGTGAGACACTTAGCTGCCTCGCTCAAGGGGACTTGGCCCCTTGGCCAATCCCTTTGGCAGGTTTCAAAAGGCAGCTCCACATTCGGGAGCTCAGCCCCAGCGGTAACACGGGAGGCATCGCCGTTCTGAAATGCCGCCACCGCCGAAGCAGAGCCCAGACCTGTTTCGGCAGCTCCCTGGAAGCGTTCCAAAGGAAGGAGCCCTCTTGCTGAACCCACGTCGTGGACAGGAGGGAGGGCGACCGCCCGCTGCGAGACAGCCAGTCCCCATCAGTCCCCTGGGGCGATTGGTTCTGACAGATTTGGCTGGGTTTTATTTTTAAAGCCCATTCCAGGCGGCAATACAGAAAGCCAGACATTAAAATTAATTAACTTGGTAATGGATTGCCAGACGAGGGCACGAAGGAAATGTGACGGCTGTGGGATGTGTTTAGAACTCAGGAAAGCCTCGCGCACGCTTCCTTGAATAATTCATTGCTTGGGGCTGGAGATGAGCGCGCGCCCCTAGACTGAAAACTGGCTGGCGTGCCCTCGGGGAGGGGAGCGATCTAATGCAGTGGGGGGCATGGGGCAGGCAGGGTGCCCCTGCAGGCCCCCTTTTACTTATCGCCATTCGTGAGTGGGCCAGAAGGTGGCGAATGGGGCCTTTCGGGAGGGCAGCCCAGCTGATGTGCAATTGGGCAGCATTGGGAAAAGGGGGGCGGTGAGAGAACGAACATCGCTGAGACCGACGGGGGCTGGAAATACAAAGAGGAAACAGGACAGCGCGGTTCCGTCTGTAAACTAGAAGCTTGAGACTGGCGCTTCAGTGGGAAATACTCCCCGGGCAAGGCCGTGAGCCGGCACCTCGCCTAGGAAGTGGCTGCTCCAACCAGGGGCGTGACAGTCTCGGCCCAATATTCAGTAAGAGGCCACTCTATGGATCACGATCGAGTCGATAAAGCACAGCCGGGGAACCACGCCTGCCCAGCGGTATCTAGGGCCCACAGCGGTATCTAGGGCAAGTCCACTACAGCCCACCCCTTTTCGGGGAGCATCCATGGGGCACACCGCTAAGGCTCTTGCCCCGCTTCAGCCACACAAGGAACAGCATAATCTAGACCTTGAAACGTGGCAGGTGTTTACGGGTGAGGGGGGCAGCACACCAGGTCCTACTGGGCAGTGGGGCATTCCTTTCCACCAGGGGAATTCACCATGGGCCATTCGGGGCTGGAATCTACCCCTTGGCATCTCTCTCACGAAAGCAAGATGTGGGGAAATCCCTGCCTCGGTTTCCCCACCCGCCACACGAGGCCAACGGTATTTCCATCCACCACGGCGGTGTTGTACCGCTTAATCCCGCAAAGCTTCTGAACCCTTTCGGTGGCCGATTGCAAAGCCATTATCTTCCAGTAGTAGAACGTAGCAGGTCACTTCCATTTCTAATTAGCCACGACTCCCGAGGAACCTGACCAGAATAATCCGAATAAACGGCAGCCTGGTGTATCTGGGGTGCAGCCTGAGGGGTCTTGGGCAAGAGACGGCTCTGTGTCTGCCGAGCAGGGATGAGGCAGCAAAGCAGAGAGTGTGGAAGGTGGGGGCGATTCTAGTCCTGGCCTTCCAGCCCATCCCTGGGGCAGTGGTTCTCCGCCAGGACTACCGCTCCTGTCGGGAGCACACAGGCAGCGTCCAGGGTACGTCAACCCAGCTAGAGAGTTGCCTAGTTTTACCACAGACCACGCAGCAAGCACCACCGCAGTCAGTACACACTAAAATCGCACACAGACAATAAGTTATGCTGCGCAGTATACTACACCCTGAAATGTGAGTACAATATTTCTACACCCGTTGCGCCTGTGTGTTTTTTCTCTGATTGTGAAAGTGAGTATTATTTATGTGAGGTGTAAGTCAGGAGTACACATGTATCACCCGCACATGTACTGGGGGGGGTGTTGCGCTCTCCCCGGGCGTGGCACTTACAGCGAGAGGGAAGGAGTTTGCTCCCCGGCTTTAGCCGTGCGCCAGCTGGCTTTTAGCTCCTGCTGTAGAGGCTCCTGCCCTGAGCTCCACAGGTCCCAGGTTTGGGTCCGCCTGTTGGCACTGCGCAGGACAAATCAGACGCCTAAAAAGGGTGCGATAGGCTGGACAGGTTGAGCGCCGCTGACAAATCAGACGCCTAAAAAGGGTCCGATAGGCTGGACAGGTTGAGCGCCGCTGCTCTGAGACCAATGGGCGTTGACCAGCCCAATGAAAAATCGTCACCTTATTTTCAGACTGGTAACCCCGCAGGGCTTTGTGACGCCTGGGTATCTGATTACGGCCCTCCAAACGGCAGGCTTTTACGGCCTTCTCTTTGACAGGGGTGTCACCGCTAAGGACAGTCACTGCCCTCTCACAGGTGGCTGGGCGCTTGCTGGGTTGACAGAGGAGGCAGGAAAGGAGACAAGCCAAAAGCTGCCACCCTCCTGCTACAAGTGGGAAACAGCCCTGACCTGTCCCTGTCCCTGTCCTTGGACGCTGGATTCTGAGACCCTCCTGCCTTTCTGCCTACAGGTGGCGACAGTGTCGGGCCTCGCTAAACGGGCGGCTTCCGTTGGAGAACTGGATCCAGGGACGGGTGCCGAGGCGGGAACCACCAAACCAGCTACTCCAGCAGGTACCGGACCGTCTCGCTTTGTGTTTTCCCCTTTTGCCCAAATGGCCAGTCCCGACCGTCTCGCTTTGTGTTGTCCCCTCTTGCCCAAATGGCCAGTCCCGGTGGGGTTCAGCTGGGAGCCTGGTCAGAACTCTGCATTCATGCCTGGCTGCCCAGCCCTAATGACATGCCCCCCCAACAACAGTGCTTTATTAATCGGACTCCTCGCAAGCTGGGCCTCTGACCTGACGGGGTCTGGAGCAGCGAGTCCGAACCTGGTTTTTAATAATGTACTTCAGGAACGTCGTGATTATGTGGCTGGCAATAAAAGTGTACGACGGTGCTGACTGATGCCAGGGGTTTGTTCTTTATTCCCGCAATACCTGAGCTGAGAAGGGCCGGCACAAATCACTGTCTGAATTATTTACTCGCCTCACCAAAAACTGCCAGTGCTTCAGAGCCCCTAATAAAACATCTCTATGGCCCCTCAGCATTGCTCATAACTCTTTGGGGGGTGTAAAGAAAACTCCTGTTTCCTTTTCATTCCAAAGTCGCCCAGATGTTCTCGTTTTCCCGTCACAAAGGGCATAAAGAATCACACAGTGCAGCACTTCTCTAAGAATGAGTTATTTAGCGTGTTATTTTATTTTTCTCGGCCTTTCTCCCCCCTACATTTGCTTTCCAAAGAGTCTTTGCTCTTGTTTATCAAAGGATAAAGTGTCCGGGCCAGGAACCCAACCGGTGTAAAACATGCCCACTGCAGTGAAGTCAGTGAAATAGTTCCTCTGTTGGTGTAAATCACTAAACCTCCAGTGATTTATTTTGGAAACAATTATTTTGACATTTTTTTTCATGGAAATGTATTAGCGTCTTTACAAAAATAGCTTTAATGAGCAGCGAATGAAAAAAGTCATAATCACAGCCAAATGGGCGCCTTGCTACAGTAATAAATCTTTTCAAGGTGGGGGGGCAGCCGTCAAGATATTAAGCACAGGTACCATGTAGCCAGACAAGTTTCGAACGTGAAGGAATTGATACAGCAAACACAGAAAGCAGGAAGAGAGGGCACAGGTATTTTGTTACACAATCTCGGTGTCCCGATGTGACAGTGACACTTGGTTTTGTCGGAGAGGGGCTGTGCGTGCTGCCGACCAAACACGCCAAGCTGCTAGTGGCTATGTCCGAGGTAAGTGCCGTTGCTCTTGCTGATCTGCTTAGCCAGCGCCGTTGGGAAAATCAAGCGGTGCCCACGGGCCGTGCTCACAGCTCAATGGTGCAAACCGGCTGTATTGCTGCTGCGCCTGCCCATCCCTTCTCGACTGCTTTTAGCTACCTCTTGGGTCTTGTCGTAAACTAAGCTTGCAAGCTCCCGGGAGCAGGGACTATGGTTGTGACAGCTGCGTACAGCCCCTCGCGGAATGGGCCCTCAGGGTGGGTGGGACGCGGACGTTCTGCTGTTATACAAACACTAACTAAGCGGTAAGCAAGTGCCGTCACCCAGACCCGTGGAGCATGGCAGCGGTGTCTCGGTGGTGGCTGCCCACCCTGCTCTCCCAGGCCCAGGGGGCTGGGCCCGATTCCTCACCCCGGGTAGTGAGACCTGATCCCCCTGCACGACCGAGAGGCAGCCAGGCCAAATTTGCAGAGTGGCGTCATGAGGTTGTCGCACCACCCGGAGCCACGTGCCTTGTCACCAGGCCCGGAGCAGGGAACCAGGGCCAGCCCTTCTGGACAGGCCCTACCACTGTCGGGGGTGCAGGTTCCTTTTCCCGCCCCCCATGCAAAGGTGCCGCCTCGCCGGCTGGGGTGGCCAGCTTTCCTGGGTCTCTCCTTGGGCTCAATCTCCCAGAGACTCCCGCAGCCAAACTGGGAGATTGGCCCGACAGGCCAGCAGCACCACCGAGCTAAAGCCATGTCCCCGCCTGCCCTGGCCCTGTGCTGCTCCTGGAAGTGACCAGCACGTTCCTCTAGTAAAGACCTGCTAAATCCAATGCTGAGGGCGCCCCCGTTTCTCCCATTGACTTCCCGCGTGGGGGGCGGGGCCAAAACTCTGCTTGAGGTACGTCGACTCCAGCTCCGGGTTTTACAGAGCTGGAATTGGGCATCTTCAGCCGACCTGCCCTTGGAGGGTGGGCCTGGCCTTAGCGTGCAGCGAAGGGGATAGTAAGGGAAATGGTGTAATGGTCCGGAGCGCTACGCCCGGGGCAGGTTCCCACGCGAGGCTGTGACAACCCCTCAACCGAGGTTCTGAGAACAGGCCAGACAGGCACGGCCTAGCAGGGATGGTCTAAGTGTACTTGGTGGTGGCTCAGGGCAGGGAGCAGACTCGATGGTCTATTAGGGTCCCTTCGAGCCCAACATTTCTATCATTCCATGGAAAGCGGAACTGAGCTTACTAGAACCGAGAGTCCCAAACAACGACCAGATGCACAGCCTGGAAGGGAGGAACTGGCCCAGGAAACTGGGGGAAGATTAAGCAGCGGGGGACGGCAGCAAGGGCCCTGTGGGGCCTCGTCCCTGTCTGCCTAGAGCCCCTCCGTGTAGTCGGTCTGTTTGGGGCTCCACTGTACTCAGAGAGAGACTGCAGTAGGCTTGGGATCAGACTTTTTCTGAGGCGTCGGGGGGGCCTGCATAGGCTTCAGATCCGCATATCAGCTCTACTCTGCATTGAAAAGGCCTCCACTGGAGCAGTGGGTCTATAGGCACCGCATTTCAGGAAAGATGTGGACAAACGGGAGATGGTCCAGAGAGGAGCAACAAAAATGATCCAAGGCCTAGAAAATGTAACCTCTGCGGGAAGACTGGGCTTCATCAGGAGAAGAGAAGACTGAGAAGGTAACCTCTGCGGGAAGACTGGGCTTGCTTCATCAGGAGAAGAGAAGACTGAGAACTAACATAACCGGTTTCAAGGACCTAAAAGGTTAGTACAAGGAGAAGGGAGAAAAATTGCTCTCCTTGACCTGTGAGGACAGGACAAGAAGCAATGGGCTTAAATTGCAGCAAGGGAGGTTTAGGTTGGACATGAGGAAAAACTTCCTACCTGTCAGGATGGTTAAACACTGGAATAAGTTGCCTAGGGGGGTTGTGGAATCTCCATCTCTGGAGATATTTCAGAGAAGGTTAGACAGACACCTCTCAAGGATGGTCTGGGTCAGGGCTACTCAACTTTGGAAGCCCCGGGGGCCACAACACCACTCACAGCACATGCCGAGGGCTGTGCAAATATATATGCAAATAGCTTCTTTCACACTGACAGGCATGAATACAAAGATCAAGGCAAGACTACACAACACACAGGCCCCATTTCAGTCAGTTCTGCTGATATTAATCAAATGCAACATTTACCCAATTTCCACCCATGTGCCAGCACTTTTAATGAGCAAAGAAAGTCCAGGAATTGAACTACTAAACCACACATCAACAGAAGACCATTATATTGACTCGCCATTATGGAGCGTGTGGAGGCCATGTTCAAAGGATCCCACCTGCTTGTTGAACTCCGTGTAAACACAAACCATACCGCGGGCCACGTGTTGAGTAGCCCTGGTCTCGTTGGTGCTTGATCCTGCCCTGAGGGCAGGGGACTGGACTTGACCTCGCAACGTTGCTTGTAATTCTATGAACCTGTATCGGCCCAGGGACTCAAAGGGGTGTTTCTCCAGCTAGTGCAAGTAGCACAGGTCGCACCTTCTGCTTTAGCTGCCGTCTCTTCCTATACGAAGGCTGACACAATGGAGAGACCCGCCCAGACTTTGCTGCCCACTATTTTCCCCCCCACACACATTGCATCAGGCTGGTGCCTTTCAGCGCCTTCCGTTCCACCAGGGGTCTACACTGCGCACAGCGGAAAGCAGCGTATCATCAGCGGGAGCGGAGGGCGTTCTGCACCACAGCGGGCCCGGGGGAGGAAAGACGGTTCCAAGAGGGCGAGGGTCCATGGGTAATTCAGATGGCCACGGATGAACTGCCAGCCACAGGTGGTGTGTGCTTACACTCTAATTGAGTCATTGCTGGAGACAACGGAATTAAGACGTGTGCGTGGGCAGACTGCAGTAGACAAATGAACCAAGAGTCGCCCCGTATTGGAAGCGCTTCTCCCTGACATCAGGGCACAAATGAAAAGAAGGGGGCCGTGATGGAGGGGCTGGCTGCGGTGGAATCGTCATTTTAGCAGAGGAGATGCTGATGAGTGAGAGGAGTGGGTCATGATGAACATAAAACCTGCACTGGAGGTAAATCGGAGGTCAATGCCAGTGTAATGGAGATCACTATGATCGTTCTAGAGGAGGCGATGGTGGATGTGTAACGGGGGTCGGTGATGATGATGGCAGGGAACTGGGAGGGGATGAAGATAACAGGGATGAAGTACCAGGACCGATCTTCAGCTAGTGTAAATAGGCAAATCTCCGCTGGCTTTAGTGTCTCTGGCCGTGTCTACGCATGGGGCCCATGACACTGCCATGGAAGAGAGGTTGACTGGTGAGGAGCGGGCTAATGAAAGCCGATAAATCTCTAATGGAAAAATAATTAGTGTGAAAATGGGGAGGGAGGTAATTATGGCTCTAATAAAGGTGGTGATGGTGAAGATAACTGAAATATCTAATGGGGGCAATGAAGAGAACTGAATGCGAAAGCCGGGCTGCTGCTGCTGCTGGTGGCGGAGAGCGGAGAACTGAATGGGAAAGCTGCTGCTGCTGCTGGTGGCGGAGAGCTGGACCTGGACGGGTGGAGACGCCGATATCAAAACTGTAACGGGCATCGTTAGGACGGTGGCAGGGGCAGTAATAACGATAATGGAGCGGTAATTGAGGAGGCGATCGTTATCAAGGCAGAGGCGCAGATAACGACAGAAAAGAAGATGAGAGATTGGAATGGAGAGGTTGTTCAAGCTAATGGCATTCTAATGGAGACGGTGGACAAAGGGAATGGAGGTGTAATGAGGTAATGGCTGCCGCGGGAGAGGAGATTGCTGCTATGTCGGAAACGAGGACCGGGAGGCAGGCGAGGTGTATGCTAAGAAG